TAGACAGGTGAGCACATCACATTGTAAGCCCCACCAGNCTCCTCTTGTTCCCCTTTCTAATAGCCACAACCCACCTAGCGGCCAACATAACCACCGCCATGTCACCACCTCACCCTCTGCAACATTGAGCAATGTGACCCGACGACGATGATGACAACACACGACAATGGCTACATGATGATGGAGATGGATGGACGACGACGATACAGGTGGCGGCAATAACGGACGACCACAACCACAGTGCACAACACGACGAAAATGACCATGACGATGGATGACACAAAGACAATGATGATGGACAACAACATCAACGACGCTTGAGCGCTCCCTCCCAAACCTGAATGAGGATACCCTGGTGTCCCTTCATTCATGTGTAATGTTATCCATTATTTTCACCTTTCATACTTTCTTGGATATTGGCTTTAAGCCTCTTTATTAGTGTGGCTGTTATTGTAGACCCCCTTGTATTAGATAGTCGAAATGCCATTTATACCCCTAATTTAATTTGGAAACAAGAAAATTAGTGGCCATCTACAAAGAAATCAGTAGATTCAGTACACACAAGTAGCTCTGGTAGCAAGGTGTACCAGTGCCTACCTAAGTGGAAGGACGGTGTACCAAGGGCTATCAGGTGCAAGGGAAGAACTACCCAGGCTACTGAGATGTCACAGTAAACTACCGGAGCGACTCATGGGGGGGACTAGACTACCAGGGTATTATAAATACTAGAGCTACATTGACCTACTGACTCAAGAGATTTTCTCCTGATGCACTTGCGTGCTAATTTTCACACATGTCATGCAACTTGCACGCTTGCCACGCAAGTATTACGCAGATGATGGTGCACGTGTGTACCATCCTGGCAATATTCTGTGCCAATGTAACGAAAAATAGACTGTTGTGTGTAGATTAAAGCATCTACTAATAGCTACTATATCACTATACTACAATAAGGACAGTCAGAAGATAACTTTCCAACAGAGGTCTGAATTCATCCGTTTTCCACGCCACTCAAGGGCGATTAAACTCTGCCAAAAGTGAGCATGACGCCTGAAAGTACACTGCACAATGAGTAAATCTGGGGTACATGGAATAAAGATGGAATATAACAAGTTTTTGTTATTTAATTAAAGTGGGCACAGTATCAATTCTGATGATGTAATGTTTCCCACCTTTGGGGAACAAAATCCGGTCCATTTGGGCTCTATATTCACGCAAATGACCTCCACACTGATAGCCCCTTTCTCTGAAAACAATTTAAATGTGTAGAACTAAAGAAAGGCTTCCTACCCATCCCAATTTTTTTGAGAAATAATGGCAGGAACATCCTCTAATAAGTCTAACAAAACAACAAAGTGAAGACAGGATTAGACAAGATTGGCTTTTGGGTCAGCAAGCTTCATAGCTTTATTTTCCTTTGTATAAACATTATTTTAGTAGCCCAGCGTTGCATGGCTTTTTTGAATATGTCATAGAAAAATGTGAGACATAATGATGCAATCATGTAAAAACTTCCCCATTTTCTGGCAGAGAAAAACCATCTTGACGTCATTAAATTCAATCCTTCTGAATTGCTTTGTCATTCCCATATCTTGATTGTTAATGATGGTAATAGCAACTTTCTGTACTGAATCAGTGATGCACACAGCAGTCACGCATGCTCAGGACCTTGACACGCAGCACCATGCAGATGTGTGCATGTGCTTACGCATCAGCATGCATCATGTTACTGACCCGTGAAGGTCACGCTCATCCACACATCTGCACGCTCGTCCACTCACCAGCACACGTCTGCACGCACTAGCACACTACTATCACGCTAACACACACTTGTGAACACCCATGCACGCTACCCATTTAAATTAATGAATACTGGGTCTTTGGACAATGTATCAAGCCACAATTTAGAGTTAGGTTCCATTCAATGGAAAGTGATCAGGGTCAACAAGTATCATCCTGATTCTTCCTTGCTTTCTCCTTTATCTAAAGGCAAAATTCTCAAGACGATGGTGAGTCCCCTGACATTAAACCAGATTCAGATTCTAAATATTTCATGTAGGACTTTCTCAGACATGTTTTTCTGTACTTTGGACCGCCAGAACCAGATGAAGCACAATCTAAAAGGGCTGTTTCGGGCAAGAGATTGGTTAGAAAATGGCAAAAAGCCACTTCAAACAAGCTTGGTTCCGTATTGTGGAGCTCTTTCTATCGTCGAGAGAGCCCAGATCGCAAATTGGTTTCTGTGTCACATCAGCAAAAATGCAGAGACCTGGCTCAGGCACTTACCACTAGCTCATGTGTTCACCCTTTACACTGCAGAACATATCAAAAATGAACCAAAGTTGAAGGTACTCACAAAGCCAGAAATCATCAACGAGGCTTGGAGGATCCAATTTACAAGTATCCCTTCAGTCTTGTTCGACATTGATGTTGAACACGAGGCCTTGGAGAATCTGGAGACCGAGATGTTTGAGGTTTCAAGAGCTGCAGGGATTGCGAGTTATTATCAATGGGGCTTGGACGCAGGACATCACCAAGATTGGGATCCGTATGCAAGGATGGAAGACTTGAATAACCAGGATTGTCCCGGAGATGATGATGATCTTCAGGTAAGTGAAACCCACTAAGTTTGAGGTGACTCACATGACATCAAATAGTTTGGACCTGATTACATTCACCGTGAAGAGATAATACAACTGACAGAAAAGAAATCGCGTCCCAAACCACGCCCCAAGATGATCAAGAAGACCATGCCCTATGTGGTTTACCCTTTGAAATGTTACTAAAGATATAGAAACAAAAAGGGGATGTTCCTCACTAAGTGTTTGTACAGCATCTCCAGCACATTGCCCAGATTTCATGCCATGAGTACCATCTATCGCCGCATCTTTCAAGTCCCGGAGTGCAGTAGCCAGTACAATATCTGTGATCAACGCCGCCTGGGCCCGGGGCAGAGTAGATGAGTGGGGCGAGGCAGAGGAGTATGGCGGTCAAGGTGAACTTCATGATAATATGGTTCTAGACGGTGGGTGAATCACTTGAGTTTGGAGAAATGTTCTTTTATTTTGAAAGATGTTCAACGTGTTCCTTTATAGGGTATTTGTACGGAGGCTTTATGAAAGCCATATCGCGATGTGTCCCCGATTTGTCACCAAAGTAATACGTGTCACGTCTCATTATCATTGCAAATTCACTGGTTCTGGAATAATATTCCAACAACGGCACATTAAAGCTATATTTTTGGAAGGGCCTCGTTAAGAGCTTTGTTGTAGTATAAATTTGGATTTTATAAGCTGTAAAATTATGCCGAAGTCACTTAGCTGCGCAAACCTCATTGGTCACCATATATTAATATATCTCACACAAACCATAATCTCACTCGGAAATCTTGTCCTTACCGTCGAGAAAACCAATTTTAATGCCATATGTGTTTATAAAGACAGTGGGAGATTCAGGCTCTGAATGTGTTTGAAGAGACATAAATTGAAGGTTTTGACAACTTACTGACCGAGTGTACGACACGCGTTAGTGACAATCAAGATCAACAAGCGTCGCTCTGTCTATTCTGAGCTCCCCAACTGTTTGAATGGTTTGGCTGAATGTCGGGAGTCGGGACAATATCGGGGTGCTTGCTTCTGAAGATCGAGTGCTCGCACTGATCGTAAAAGCGCTATTGGAAGGGAAGAAATCACTGTCGACGCAGGCCCCAAATTGAATTTCTTGGTTGAATATCGGGAGTCGGGACAATGGATACCTTCCCGTAAGAATCTGAAGGTGTCTGAAGATTTCAGATGTCCAACAGATGTCTTCAGATTTTAAAGTCCGAATCTGAAGACGACGCAACCGCTCACAACCGTCAAATCTTCAGCCCGTACTATACCTATTCAGGATAGTACGCGGAAATTTCACTTTTTCATTGATGTTGTAGCTTCAACATCATATCGTGCAGCCTAAAAAATCAATAGGTGTCTAGTAAATGTAGTTTTACTATCCGTCGTATTTCACCTATGTATACCTCCTACCGAGGGCTCAAATTGAACCTTGTCTTCGACGGCTTGGAATTGTTCCGCTGGACGTCTCTTGTTCCCTGCAAGAGAATTGACAGTGACGTGCTACCATCGCCATTATTGAGCTGGAAGGAAGGTCAAGTGAAAGCTATCCGGGGCCCAGGTTCTGAAGCCCCGACGAATCGAGGACCTTTGCTTCGAAAATTGGAGTTGGCGAGCCCCCCAATTGCCTATCGTCAGAGACTTCTGTTTTATTGTGTTTTGTTTCTGCTATGAAGGGCATGACTGCTTCATGTCGGATTTTGAATGCGTTAACGAGCGCGGTGATTTCTTGAACTATAGTTAGTTCTTCCCATCAGAAATTCTCCCGATACTCCATGGATTTATAGCGATCCTTGAACAATTTCTTCAGATCAGCTTCAGTGTTGGAAGGTCACTCACATGGAAATTATAGAAGACAGAAGTCCACTTCAATCCCCAATCTCACCGAGTTGAAAGCGCGGAAAATCACGGGGCAGCTTAGCGGTATATGTTCTGGACGCCAATCCATCTTCCTATGACGGCACATCTTCCACTTGTACCTGGTACCTCTCTAGCACCGAGTTTCGTCTTACGGGAAAAGTTCTCACCTTTATAATTGAACGCGCCCAACGCCAAACAGTCGGCGTTGGGCAGGTATGATGTCGCATTTCTATCCCCGAGGATGCGAGTGATTCCCTCCCATCTTGACACAGTCACTCGAACACCACGGATGATCCGTAACGTGGTGACTAGAGCCCACTCGACGGAGGACCTGAAGGGAATTAGTAGAAGCATCCACTCCAGATTGATATCATCATAAAGACTCGGAAGGACCTTTTTTTTCCCCCCTTTCCGTTGATGTTCTTTGGAACACTTACGGTGCAAGTTTGATTATTCCGTCGGTGCACGCTATGACACCTTCCGGGGATGATCATATTATACATAAATTTTTTTGAGGCTTCCAGGACCTTGACCTTCGTACGCCGCGGGATTGGCCCATACAAGTGACTTGGAAGTTGGAAGTGTTCTGGATGCGGAAAAACGAGGATTGTGGTGGGTTCAGGGTTTGGACCAAAAATGTCACGCATGTCACGTCGCACACTGTACACGTGATTTGCTCTCTCCCTGCTCACCCTTCCCACCAGCGCCATCCCCCCACAAACCTCTTACACATTCTACCCATTGAACTGACGCCTTCGTTGTTGCGCCAATGGCGTATGGGTCTCCACCTTCATCTAGTAATGGAACGAGGAATCGTTCCGTGTATCTCACCTTTTTTCGTTCCCTTATCAAACACTGCACTGTACAGTAAGTAATAAGAAGCCTTCTCCCTCTCCGATGAAAGAACCTCTGTGACAGTACAAAGTTCAGTGAAACTTTGTTTACTCTCAGCCAACGCACAGATGACATATGGACCGCCAGGCTCGTCTAGTTCGAGTAAACTGTATTTGTAAAGGCAATGTAAAGGACGGTCGTTTTTCCTACTTCAGAAGTGCTGACAATTTCCACTGCACAGTTCAGTTCACCTCTCCATGTTGTGAAGTCTCCTACTAGCACCATGTTGACGACCACAGCGAGTTTCTCACAAGTTTGGCTCGTGATCCCTCCAACGTCACCCTTTTTCGTTGATGCGTCGTAGTGAATTCAGAAAGGCGCGTTTTGGTGGAGGAAATTGTCAGCTGAACCAGTGAGTTTCCATGTGAATCATTCGTTACAATCGTCTGACACAAGAACGCTAGCATCTGCAAGGTTTTGCCCCCAGAGGGCGCTGCGAACACGTTGTCTTGATTTGGGCAAGGACTCGCATACACCCTATAACGCGCCTTCAAATCAGAAGTCGGCCTTCGCAAATTAGCTATAAACGATGGCTACGTGTAACCTACCGAATCGGCCCGGCCGATGGCACAGGATTGGGTTGCTGTGACGCAAGATAGATGGTTGTCCCCTGTTCAAGGTTTCTTAACAACAGTTGAGTCTAAGCTCCTTACTTGCCTATATTCTCATACCGCTCAGCTTTCTCGTCGTTTGTCTGCCGAACTTGCCCCTGGCATTTTGAGCGAGTTGCACACGTGCTCAGGCGTCGAATGCTTTCTCGAATCTCTGCTCGTCACTACCTCCACGTCGTGGTGACTGAAATGATCCACCTAGCTCCCTGCTCGTCATTTTGCTTAAAAATATTTCTTGTCCGAACGAAACGGCTGTACCCTAGCGGAGGCGTACAACAACCTCCTACCCCCTCAGGCTCCGGCTTCCCCTAGACTGTATGGGCCTCCATCCAAACCGGCCCGAATCTCGAAATAACGCGTAGTTACTTTGTCAATACGCTGAGTGATGCCCCGAGCATCTTCGAGGGAAAAGCTTGGCGCAACGCCTACAAAAACGATTGTCTTGTTCCTCGTCATGATATCAGCTTGAAGAAATTGAAGAAATTTTGGGAGTTTAGCTTTGCGGTGTCTTCGCTTCGGGATTCTGTCTCGAGCACGGGGACGGGGGATGGGGGACGGCAGCATACAGATATCAGTGACCAGTTTGGATTAGGAGGGAAAACAGGGTTAGGTGAATGTGCGCACGAGGGATTTTATCTACAAAGGTGTGTCGGAACTTCGTCGATTATCCACTGGGTGCTCACTGACATAGTTCCCCTCAGTTTTTTCGTCGTTCGTCCCGCCCAACGATTTTAACCCCGCGTATATAGGCCTCCTTGAAAGCACAAGGAAAACGACGCTAAAAGCGCAGAATGGCGTTCGAAGTTGTTGAAGTTCCGTGTTCTGGCAACAATGTACTTCGCTGTCGATGATTGCCCATGCTAGCAATCAACCGAGGGATCTTTACCAAGCTGTCGTGTTGCTCAGCTTTCCGTCTGTTGAAACGTTGAAGTGCGGTGCGGTCAGTGGATAGAAACGGTTCCAGTAAGTTGCCAGTAACCTTCGTGAATATACGTCTAACTCCTTTCGTTGGATGCGCCCAGGATGCGCCCAGTCAGAGCTCCGGAAAACCGACGTATTGTATTTTGCAAATTGGTCGCAGTCTTACCTGTTGTGAGGCATCGTTATTTTCATGATCCCATTGTTAATGGTTTGTGCTGTTTAACAGGTGAGCACTCATGGTTTGGCTGACGTTTCCCTTTCTAAAGCACCATTACCAGAGGGTCGTTCACTCACCCATACCAACTCCGGAACTAATCAGCTGCCCCGTGCTCCGCGGCGATGCTGTCGTTTGGTCAGCACTCCACCGCTCCACAAACGGCTCGCCCTAACAACAATAATCCGACGGTAATGTGATACTCCATGTGCCGTGTCGAATGTTGGACCGCCAAAAAGCGTCACAACTTACGATCGCCGACGGGATGACTACGATCGAGGATCCGAAGTCCTGCCCATCGTATCAAATGCTGGAAGCAGAACGGGACATCTGTGCACCACCGGAGTTTCTTGTGTTTGGCACGACATGAGCGCTCCGTCGCGACCACGAGTTAATTGGTTGGCTTTGTGCAGGATCCGAGATGAACGAACCTGTTCCCGACGCGGCGCGGCGCCCTTTTCCGAATCCAGCCCTCCTGTCTTTACTGGCTCCAAGTCCCAAACAACAGGAAGAAACCGCCGTCGCCCATCTCGAAACCTCAGCCCTGGGCAACTAAGCAAAAGAAGAAGAAGAGCTTCAAGACCCTTCAGGATGCCAATTCGGAATATGGTATGACAACAGGAACAACGATCTGAGCGACTTGTCCGATCTGGAGCTTTCGCCACCAGCGGGGAGGTGCATGAGAAAGTGGGGTCGTTCTGTATCACCGCCACCAACTGTGACCGTCGAGGAGCCTGTGAGGACAAAACGAAGATTGGTATACACGCACGTTCCTATGCTCCGATATTCCCCCGCTGTTTTTCACCCCACTTTCTTTTTTGAAATGTAGAGAGCCCCAGGAGTTCAGAATCCGGCTGTCGTTACGGCGCCTGCCCTCCCGTCCCCACAGGAAGAAGTTTCTGTTTCAGTTGTTCAGAAGTCCCCAGCTGTTCAGAAGGCCGCTGATGGGCCTGCCAAGACTTGTCAGAAAAAGCGCAAGTACCTAGTTCATTCTCGTCATCAATCCACTGTTGGTCGGCCTTCTTGCGTTGCTTCGGACTGTGTTTTCCTAATCCGACTGGCTTTTTCGTCTTTGGCCCCGTATGTTCTGGCATCTCTTTTGGATTCGCTCTTAGGCAATTGCAACTATCTCCTCCTTGGCTAATTATGGACGTTTGTCGCCGTGGAGATTGTACATAACTCTATCCCATTGCCCAAGTCATCCGTACATCTGATGAAGAGACTTCTGTGATGATGAATGGTTGGACTGGGAAACGGCTGCTAGCGAACGGAAAAACGAATGGTGCTTTCCTGCTGCTCTGGCCTGGCTTGAGAGTCGGCGGCAATGCGTCAGACTTTTACACAAGCCAGTACAGAGAGCACTGTATTTGAACAGATGGGAACCAAATGAGAACACAAAATTTTTATGAAGCGATACCGGGTGACTTGCGTAATAGGCTGGGATACTCGGCGCCGGCCCTTCGCATCTGTATACGGCATTTGTGTCTAGAAAGCCCAACAGTACATACTCTTCACAAAGATTCCCTTAAAAATGGGACTGTATTTTCAAGCTGAATTTATAATCCAAGGAATTCAAAGACACCCAGAGTCCCTCCTCGCTGTAAGAAAGTAAAATTGAGGACAACTCGAGAAAATTTAAAAGTTGAAGCGGAAGCAAATTCACGATGGTAGCGCGTCATATAAACGATCAAACGCCACGAATAGGGTCAACTTTGGCATTTTATTTATAGATGGGGACTCGCAATTATCTGACTGTTTACTTATTAGCACCAGTTCAACGGAGTACGAAAACCCAGATGGGTCAATTCATTCAAAGAATCTAGGCCCCCTTTGACAAAAAAAAAGAAAATCGGAACGATGTGCACGTGCATAAGTGAGTATCTCCGATTCTCCTTGGAGTGAATTATTCGTTAACGTATGGAAGTAATGAGTAAACGACTAGGTCCTGCGAGAGTGGGGGTATGAATAGTACATGGTTTTCCCACCGCGACGTCAGGTACATACCGTGATTTAACAGCTTGCGGTATAACGTTGTGGACACCCCAGATTTTTTGTTGGAACTTGGCCGGGTGCCGGGTGAGTGGGATGGAGTGGGATATAGTTGGGATGTCTTGTGAGTGGTTTGTGTTGCAGTAGTGATGAACTTGCGAGCCGATTCACTTAATTCATGATGGCCTGCGAGTTGATGTTGATTTTCGTATAGTAACTCTCAACTCAATGATTTTTTTATATCTTTTTCTTTTTTTCTTCACTCAGCTCTGTCCCACAACGGAGATAATATACCTTAAGCATCGGCAGGAGTAGTCGCCGACATCGTGTTTGTGATTGAGGTTCGGCATGGAAATTATTATTAACCGAAAAATTTCCAACGCCTTTCGTTGAACGTTGATTGATACCTTCCCGTAAGGATCTAAAGACGTCTGAAGTTTTCAAACGTCTTCAGATCATGCCTCCATCAACATCAATTTCAAATAGTTTGGTGTCTTCAGATTTCTTCAGACTGTAAAATCTACAGAGGCCTCCCGACCCCTTTGCAGACTGAAATTTTGTCTTCCAACATCTTCAGATGGTCCGATCTGAGATGCCATCATCCCGAGCTACCTTGTCCCGTCCCACCCCTGCTTATGTTATCTATCCCCCTCCCCTCCCGCCTCGCTTCCGCCTATCTACATCCCGCTATACCAACCTGAAGCTTCATAATTGCTATAATTCTTCATGCAATCTTTAAAATGATGCTGACAGGCCTGTATGTGCTAATAAATCCTAGGAATAGCCCTATTTTTGATTCTAAGCTTTGTTTACTCCACTGTTGTAACTTGGCCAACAGATTACACAGGTGTAAGGGCTAATCTAATGACATAGTTTTGCGGCCAGGGGAGGTAAATAAACTACGAAATGGGCGAAGGAATGGCAGGGACTTTCAATACCAGTTGATGAAATCTGAAGTTTCTAGATTCTGAAGTTAGGCTTACGGGCTGAAGATTTGATGGTGGCGTCGTCTTCAGATTCGGACTTTAAAATCTGAAGACGTCTGAAGATTTCAGATGTCTTCAGATTCTTACGGGGAGGTATCCAATCAACGTTCAACGAAAGGCGTTGGAAATTTTTCGGTTAATAATAATTTCCATGCCGAACCTCAATCACAAACACGATGTCGTGTCTTGACTCTTGCGTGCAGCTCCTTGGCCAGATGGCAGATATCTTCTAAGTTCTGGGTTGCCTTTTGCCTGCCCTTGTGGGTCATTGCTTGAATTAGATCATGGTGACGTATATAGAGAGCGATCAGAGTCCTAGTTTTTCGAGATCCAGGCACGTAGGTCGGGTCATCGGTCCTCTGGCTAGAGGAAGGCACGGGAAACATTGCCCAATATTATTATTAGTATTACCAATTGGGATATCTTGAGAAAGTGCGATACTTTTTCTTTTCAGGCGCATTCTGATTATATTCTCAAAGTTTTTCATGTGGGGCAAGTCATGGGATTCTTTCAAATCCGGCCCAAGGAGTTTGCTACGAATAAAATTAACAGGAAAATGGTATCCTTTGTTTTCGGAGGCGATACAAAATTTATAAATGTTGATAAAAAGGGCGGGAAAGGATGGAATTTCTGAGAGAGGACTAATTATTCAAATGACTTTCTTCTTTGTGGGAAGGGAAAAAAATATTGACAAGAAAGATCACAATGTTCCAGCCAGTGTCGCAATTGCTCTGGCTATCCCGCTCTGAGATATTGTGGTGCAATGTTTCTCGTGAGGAAGGTGAAGACCCGAGAAGGGCGATCATATGATGCGCTCTCGCCAAGTCATGGTGAAAAGGGATCTCCAGGCACGTCGCGGAGATAAGCTCGGTTGAAATGTGCGTGACCAATGCGTGACTGTTCTTCCTGATTTCATAGATCTCGGTACCTGACTGTCGCTCGGTGAAGATAATGTTCAAAAATGGATCCTCTCTTGCGAGATATGTAATTGGTATAAGTACTGTTGCTGCTGCTGTACCTGGCGTTAATAATCCAATCTCTCATCTCTAGAATCATCTGAATGTTCGTCCAAACCACTGACGACCCACTCGACGAGGTCCTCAAGCCGCCTCCGGACGAGTCTCCAGAACACCGAGCTATAAGGCTGCAGAATGAAGCAGAGGCAAAGAGCGTTAGCTTGGCTATTGATGCTGGCATCAAGGCTGAACTACATGCGAGGAGGAAAAAGCGGATTGTGAGGCTGTTGTTGTTGGGTCAGAGCGAGTCTGGTGAGCTTCGTTATCGTTTTACCCTACTTGTACTTATGACAGTGTGCATCCAGGGAAATCAACGACTCTACGACGTACGTCCCCTCTGCCTCTTTTCGTAGATATAAAAGCTTATCACCACCCTGCAGAATTTCAACGACTGTATACGCCCACTGCCTTTCGCGAGGAACGTATCCTCTGGCGCGCCGTTATCCAGCTCAACATCGTCAGGTCAATACGCACCATCCTTAATGCGCTGACCTTTCCTTCAACGTCACGGCATACATCACCTTATTCGTCCCCTCGTTCAAGGGCACACACGATATTCCTGCCGCCTTTACCAAACCACCCGCCCCTTCCAAGCATTGAATACGAGCTATACAATGGGAATGGGAATGACACGACGCTAACCTTTGGCTCTTCCTCCCCCACGAGTGTCAACAGACACCCGCACCACCACTCCCACTCACCCCCGTCCAACCCAGATTCGGACGCAGACTCCGAGTCTGATTTTGTTTATCCCCACCAGCACGGACACTACCCACACCGCAGCCCGCCCTCCAACCCATCCATCACACTCGCTCCTACACCAGGCTTGGACGCACTGAAAGCGCGCTTGTTGCCCCTCCGGCATATCGAGGCTCTTCTGATTGCGAAATTGGTACCACCGAACGAGGAGGAGGCGACGTACTTTGCCCGTGTTGGTGCTGGGAGTAGTGCAGGTGCTTCCTCCTCAACTCGGACCTCCACTTCCAATTTAAGCGCCGGCTCAGGGTACGGCACGAACCACAGATACAGGAACCAAGAGATATTCGTTAGACCGGGGCCGGGGTGGAAGGGCGGTTTAGCGCGTGCCATCGCTGGAAATACGGGTTTGGAAACGCAGGATGAGCCGCAGGAGGTGTTGAATATGTGTAGGAGTGATATCATTGCGCTTTGGCATGATGAGGGTGTTAGGGAAGTGTTGAGACGGAGGAAGATTAGGCTTGAGGAGGGATCGGGGTTGTGAGTTTCCCTTTTTTTTTTCCCTTGCGCATTTATTGATTTCTAATGCCATCGTTGTCTCTATCTAGCTTTTTGGACGACCTGGAGCGCTTGACGTCGCTCAAGTATATGCCTACGGATGGTACGTCTTCTCCTCCCCACTACAGCGCAGTCAACCCCCCATGTGACAACCAGACGACGTCCTCAAAGCTCGCCTCAAAACCGTCGGTGCATCAGAGTACAAATTCGAGATGGAAGCGACTGCTGGAAGGGATAGCGGTACGGAGTGGAGGATTGTGGATACCGGTGGGAGTCGGAGTCAGGTTGGTTTTCTTTGTTCTTCTCCTCCTTCGTTTCCCTTCCTTACCCTTAGCATTTCTTATTTTCTTCGTTACCCTCTTCCTTCCACCTCCTTACCCTCTCTTCCTTCCCTCCTTTTTTCCTTACCTCCCTTGCCTTCATTCAATTCTAATCAATTTCTTTTTATTCCCTAGCGTCGTAAGTTCCCATACTCTCGCCGCATTCCTCAAAATTCTAGTCTAAAAGCGCATACTTTTAGCTACGTGGGCGCCCTTCTTCGATGATGGTACGTTCCCCCTTTCTTTTTTTCTTTTTTGGTTTCCTTCATGCACAAGTTGGTATGTATGTATTTCCGCAGTGGACGCTATTATTTTTTTGGCACCTATATCAGGGTTCGATCAAGTACTTTCTGAGGATCGGACGGTGAATAGGCTGGTGAGTTTTTCCCCCTCTTTCTTCTCGTTGCTCGTCTTGTTTTTGGCGCGTCGTTCTGCATCTTTCGTTTGGTGGCTTTGTTTTGAGTAGTTCGATGGCATGACAGTGGCGGTCTGCTCTTCCTCCCTCCCCTTCTGTTTGTTTTTTCAGTCGATGCCGTTTTGCTCATTGCCTTTCCTCTTCACTTGCTGTGATTTTGACAGTTTTGTTTTGATTAGTCCGCGCTCCCTGGACTCTTGTTGATACAAAGTTATTGCCTTTCCTCCTTCCCTGTTTATGCTTCCATGTCTTTTTTTTTTCTCTTCGTTTTTTGAGACTCTTGCTCAGCCTTGTTTTTAGGAGGACTCCATACTTCTCTGGAAAGCTGTCTGCTCAAACAAGCTCCTCGCCAACGTTGATCTGGTCTTACTCCTCAATAAATGTGATATCTTGGAGAAGAAGCTCAAGTTAGGGATCCAGTCTGTCTTTGCCCTTTTCTGCGTTGATATTTTTTGACTTTCGCGTTAGAGTGTCAAAGTACATCCGCAGTTACGGAGACAGGAAAAACGATCTGGATAGCGTTTCCAAATGTTTGTTCCTTAGTTCTGCCTCCTCGAAAGATTCTTCTGATTTGCATGCATACAAGACCTCCGGAACAAGTTTAGCGCTATCCACAGACAATACTCGCCTAACCCAAGAAAATTCTATGCATTCTTCACGAGCGTCACGGATACGGCTACTACGGCTGGTATCATCGCCAGTGGTGTGTTTGGTCATCTTTTCTTTGGGTGGTGTGCTGATGAAGGAGTGCAGTGAGGGATATGGTATTCCGACAAACTTTGAAACAGTCTAAACTTCTATGACCTGTCCTCTTGAACCTATGACATCGATCAAACATCGATAGGAGTATCGAAGCCCATGTCTATTGACCATTATGTTGGTTCCACTATTGAACAGAAATAAAGTTCGCGACCACGACTGCGACATGAACAACCACATTCCTATCTATTCATCTTGGCTTGCTTGCCCTATTACACTCCTTCGCAGGCACCGGAGTCGATCAATCACAGCCTGCCGGCCGCGGCGTCGCATTCAAGTGGGTGAGTTCCACTAACGCACTTGCTATGTTTACTGTGCATCCCGCCCCGCCACCGCCGCGGATAATAGTCTGTAGAATTGTACACATTATATACCAATACATCATTCCTCCAGCCTTCCTCTTCCCCCACCCCCTGCGAACACAATCACATAAGTAGTTTTGGTATTTATAGAAATTAAGGGAGAAATTAAGAGAGAATAAATACATTTTGTAGGGAGTCACAATATGGAATAAGCCGCTGAGAGTGCACGGTTGGAGGTGGAATTCGAAAGTCGTGGGGTGTCATCCACAACAACCACAAAATGGTGCGTCCCCCTCATCTCCGCCGCCGTTCCCGCAGCGTACGTACGACAGAGAGGAGGCGCACGTTACCCATAAGCAAGGCAGTCTGGTCGCCAGCTGGTACGACCCTCTTTGCTTCTCTGCCTACTCTGCCCGTTAACGTACTGGGTACGTTGTTAGAAAAAGGGTGGTGCAGCCAACACGGTGGATTCCTTCAATGTTGGTGAGTTGGCTTATCTTTACACCTGAAACGCTGCGTCGTCAGGTACCCCCTCATCGTAGAGGTGTCGGATCCCAGAGTATCCCCCGAAGAGAAACATGAACCCGCACGCCAAAAGAATGCGGGGTCCTCTGCGGTCGACGATTCGGCCCCAAATTGGGCCGCTAGCGTATACACCGACTGAATGGGATCAATGCGAGGCTAGAAAGGGAGAGAAGGTGGCACTCACTTATCAAGCCGACCATATTCAGCTGGGTGTGCGTGATACGGAGTCGTGATCCGAGCTGGGAAGTGTATGCTGGATGAAATGAGAGAAATTCATGTAAGTACCCGGTCAGTACTGACCCAATGTATGAGAAGAGAATCCCCGAATGAAACGGAATGAGTGGTCACCGAACCCTTTCAGGGGGGCTCGGGGCTCGGCTACAGTCAAACATCTAGGCCCAGTGAAAGCCAAATGAAGAAAGCACTCCGATGTGCCCCGGGCCCAGGCCTCAGGCCTCAGGCTTCAGGTCGTGTGCCGCCGAATATCGCGTGAAACAAGCGTGAAAGCGCACTCTCGAATGGCCGCACTAACGACGCACTAGTCGTCGTGAAGCCAATGCTTTTTCTCCAAAGCCAAAGACAGCTTGCCCACTACTAGGCCCAGCGCAAGTGCCATGACAGCAACTCCTGCTTCCTTGGGGGGTCTGAATCACTACCCACTCATCCTCACTTCAACAAAGATCGTCGAAAAGATGTGCCCGAAATTCAAACCTCCTCGCCTGAATAAACCTGCAAGCGAAATCCATTAGGTTTAATAACAGACGTCAACCTGACACCAACTCACATACTTAATTGGTTCCGGCGGTGAGAACGACGATGAGATTGGCGATTAAGGTCGTGAGACGTGGAGTACTATAGAGCGCCGGGACTGCTGAAGGATTGCTAGGCATTGTACACGCAAAGAGTGTAGTGGAAGAGGAGAGAGGCTTCATCTGTGCATTCTGTGGAGAAGCGGGACTAAAATATTCTCACGGCCTACCAACGCCGTGGTGTAATCGGCATGACCAGAAAACCGGTAAAAGCCGGAAATCTATCTTGCCATCATACGTATAACTGCAGAATTATTAACAAGACACCCGCAGGAGTTCTACCTCCGTCTTCCCACCTCTAATCTGTATTTCTTTCCGGTCATCTTTCAAGGAGACAGTGCTGACCCTGCACTCGAATCAAACAAGGGCGACCTGTGCCGCCTGGGTTACAATTCTCTATTCAATTATTCCCGGATGGACGCTAGTGGTGCTGCGAGGTGAACCGAAGCGGATCGAAGGGGGAAATGCACCAAGAATGCACCTCCATCCATTCAAGGTGAACGAGGAATTCGGTGATTCCCGATCAGCCAATAAGATCGTTTCTGGTGCAGCGCACGCACGAGGGGTTTTGAGTGGACGGTTTTCGCTCTCCGCTTTCTGGCCCTTATCGCACACTCGCCCTTGAACAAGTTGATCCTTTAGTGGTCCTGAATCGGCGTGTATGGGCTCAGTGGCTTCGGCGCGTATCATCTCTCTTTGCATCGGTTTTTGCCAAAGAAACAGAACAAAAGTGAGTCCACGTTTCTCCCCAGTTCACCAGTCAAATTATGTAGAACTGACTTTTAAGGTCTAGGGGTGGTAACATGATCGAACATCGAGGTTCAGCCTGGGATTGGCACTGGTATTGATACCTCGGCCCTTGATACACTGTCCGAGTTCTCCCACCGTTAAAGATAGGGGACGCACGGTACTTTTGATTCAGGTTCGGTTCTCCTGACAAGCTATATCATGTCAAGGCACTGAGCAGAACCCATTCTCCACCTTTGCACTCCCGATTCCACATCACCTTAGACATGGCAGCGCCCGCTCAGTTCATTGATTATGTGGCTGCAGAACGGCTTGCTACGGTGCGTATCTACATGCCTATAAAGTCGTCCTTCCCCTCTAACGAAAAAAAAACTCAGTCGTTCGATGGTAAGCCGCCTACGACGATTTCAAGCCTCTAAAGCTGATGAGTCTTCCACGCAGTTGGGGCGGCGATGCTATTGGTATACGACTGCTCACTGACGTTGGGCATGGAGATTGAGTTTGTGTGGTCATCGCCATGGGGGTTTATGACAGTGCTTTATATCGTTCAGCGATATTTGCCTTTCTGTGACGCGATTTTTCTCTGTCTGCCTCGTGAGTACACATGAAGTACCTCTCTCTTTACAATGTTTCACCACTTTCTCTTCTAGCCCAATTGGCGGCAAATATCGACCCACATGGCTGCCTCATTGTTAATATGATACGAGGGTGTACGCATTCTCTTTAAAACGTGGTCGTTTGGCTCATCGTATCATAGGGTTGATGATTTTTGGCTGGATTTTGTCTGAAGGTGCGAATTCTCTTCATTTTATTATGGTATATATGGTGTCCCTAATAATGGCTATTCCTAGCAATCTTGACCCTACGCGTATGGGCAGTATGGAAACGAGATCGGCATATTGGTGTCTTTCTGATATCCCTAATTACGCTCGCAACCGTGGCGGAAATATATGTGACGAGAATCTTCCTTCTCGACCTGCGATGTTTGTCCACCATCTGTCATACTGAACTATCATCTCACCGCAACTGACACCCCATGTTCAGTTAGTACAAAGCCATACCCAGAATTTGTCGGTTGCTTTTTCACCAGTGCAAACCACATCGTGTACGTGAATTGGGTTGTATTCATGATTTACGAAGCTGGTAAGCATTCATTTGTACCCTGGTGTACGGCATCCGCAACTAATTGTCTCCCAGTAATACTGGTCCTGATGATAATTCCTGGAATTGCTTCCTGTAAGACCCACACAGGACCTAGTTTTCCGCTTGCTCATAAGCTGCCCTTTCAGATCGGCGAGGAGGGAATGCTGATCTGCATCACGTCATATATGGCGAAGGTAAGATATTGAATTTCACCGAAAGAGATGCATCTAATTTGCCTTCAAACATAGGAATAATAATGTATATCTACCTTGTTGGTAAGCGACGGTCGGCACGACACATTCATTGTGCTAAAGCAGCAAAAGCCCTTTCAATAGTCAACGTCGTAGTCGTGTGTGCGCTCTCTGTAAGCCGATACAGTGTCTTTGTGTGAACCAAACTAACCACTCAACTTCTGCAGAGAGAGTATCTCGCCGTTATTGCTACGTACGTTTATATTCTACCTCTACATGCAAAATGACTGATCAAGTCAAAGTGTGGAACGCGTACTCCATGCACTGTTGACGAGTAGGGTCGTGCTCCATCTTCGAGAATACATAAAAATGCGCCAACCATCGTGTACCGATGGTCTTACAGACCTACACGTTGACCTGGATGCTAGCCAATCGAAAAGCCGATTGCAAAAACGATGGAGAGTATGATACGCCTTGACTCCGGTTTTGTTTCTGCGGCGATGTCCGACTTTTAGAGCGGATGGAATCTATCACGATACCTTATCTTAGTTTTTGAGAATGACAAGGCGTGAGGTATGTACGAGTGACCTAGATAAATAAATTACGTTGTGTGGAGACGTTTAACGGTAGATTGGGTGCTACACGTGTGGGTGCTGGGTAACGACGGTCGTGGAGTAAAATTTGGGCGTAGGGTGTTGCTTGATACCAACGCGAGGATGTGTAGGAATGCTATATTGGCTCATAGGATTCGGAAACTCTTTTAATGGCGTGTATCAGTGATGTAAGAACTTAGCATTACAGTCATCCACCTGCTAATGATACACCCAAAATGAGAAATTAGCTTCAACAGATTTGAGCACAACCTTTCTCTACAAAAACTACATGAAAATATCAGATAAATTCCCGTCTATCACTGTACCAATTTTCAGAATGTTTGACCCACATTTCACAAAGAAAAATTAAGATTATGGGTGTATCATTGAGGGGTGTGACTGTATTTGGCTATTTCTGAAAAACAGTCCATTTTGTATGCTCCACAGCTTTGCCAATTCTGCCTCAATTGCATCCAAATTATGTACGGTGGTAGATATGAGTTTGTACTACTTGTTACAACTTGTTTCATAAAAATCGGTCTAGTATTGAGTGAGATATTGGCTAGTCAAAAGTGTATCAAATGGGGGTGGCGTATCATTAAGGGGTGGATGACTGTAGTGGCGCATCAAACTTGGTTGTGGAATGATTCGATTCACCTTGAGATGATTCTCGTCGGCGTGCTGAAATTATTCGTTAGCTATGCCTCGAATCAGAGGGTCAGAAGACTCACCACCAGCAAGAAAGAGTTGAACAGAACAGCCGTCTAGCGTTGTCTGAGACTCGGACAACGTTTAACACTTGAGGCAGGGCCTAATAAATAATCAGGACAAATGTACCTCCTTAATTGTGGCCACTTGCAAAATAATGAAGTGAATGTGCATTCCAAAAACATTAATTCTCAAAATTAGAAAATGAAGAACAATAAGAACTTCAACCACATTTAATTTGCATATTTAAACAATGTCTTTGAGAAATAGTCTTGGTAGCCATGGCAACACCACTCAGCTGAAGAATATGTTAAAGAATAAAATAATGGAATTGGTCTGTCAATATGGCTGATGTTCTTATTGTTCAACAGTTTAAAATTTTGTTAATCAATGTTTTTGGCATACACAACAGCTTTATTATTCTAGGAGTGTTGACAATTATGGAGGTACCTTTGCCTAGATCAAACATTGGACCCTGTCTCAAGTGTAAGTTGTTGATCAGAACATGTTGACCAAAGTCTTAGTTTGGCTTCGTCACTCTCAGTAAAAAAGAAACCCAGGTAAAAGTGTGGCAGTGGTCGCGGCACAGTCAGTTCTACAATTACATGAAGTAGGTGTCGTTTTTCCAACTTTTACCTGACTAAAAATCAGTAAGAGCGTTTCCCGTGAGCCCCCATCAGTCAATTCTGGTTAGTGTTTAAAGGTTCAGTTCAGTCCGGTTTTTTGCCCCGAAAACGCGCAACCGTGGACCGCAACCGGTCCAGGACCGACCCAGATATTGAGGGAACCGAACCGAACCACCTAGGACCGGTCTTTTGCGGTCCATGATACCAGTTCAGACCGATCCAGACCGGTTTTTTTGCATATAATTTATTATACCAATATAAACCATTTGTATCTCAACCATTATTACTCTGAAAAATAAACGGGTTATATAAAATAGTAAAGCATATAAATACCCGTCATTCTACCAATTTTCAAGAGATTTAATGAAGATTTGACATAGCTATGACTGAAACCGAATTACATCTCCTAGAGACTCAGGTAAAATATGGATTTGGTTATATCTTTCTCAATTCTTAACTGTTTTTGATGAAACAAAAACCCAATAAAAGGCAATAAACGTGGTTACAAGGCTATGTGACGCACGTGACCGTTTAACCGGTTGCAACCGATTAAAACCGGTCTTTGAACGGTTTTAAAAGATTTTCGAAATGATGCAACCGGCAACCGGACCAACCCCAAATTGGGGCAACTGCAACCGAAAAAAAGACCGGACCATGGTCCGGTTCAGTTCGGTCCACCGGTTTTTTGCGGTCTTATGGACTGAACCTTTAAACACTAATTCTGGTTATCCCGATTGCCTAGTTGGAATTTAACCAGTGCCAAACTTCCCATCAGATTCGAGAAATTGTTCGGATACCCTCAATTCAGCTATGAAATTTTACCCCAGAGCTCACAATAAATCATAATACGGCTTCCCGGAAGAATAAGTAGGCCTCAGAGTCAAAGACGGTCGTCGACTCAACGTCGAGGTGAGCTTTCAGATTTGACATGGCTTTCCTCATCTTTTTGTGTTTTACTAGCTACTTCACTGCTTGGGGCTTCCTCAAATATGGATGACAGAGGCGTCATACTACTTTGCTGAGCAAAATTAAGGCTGAACATTTGACTGGGTTCAACTAGCCGATGCCGAGCACGTCTCCAGCTATTCAGAATGCTAAGGAGCATGTTGGAATACCTATTCGAGTCAGCATCTCTCAAAAGACATTCACAGCTCAGGGACAACTTACAAGCCCCCCAGAATGTAGATTCTGGAAGATTAGACATCAGTAGCATTCACACTAAGTTTATCGCTTGACTTACATTCCAACTCAGTTGAGTGACTTTGTCGGAGATCTTGAATATAAAATTAGTTGAGTGAATTTGTCGGAGATCTTGAATATAAAATTAGTTGAACAAGAGTCGTGATCAGGGTGATGGTGGCGGTCTCCAAAGTTACAATAATGAGACGATCGATAATACGCTTTGTTGGCTTGAATGGGGATTCTAGTTTTGCCTGTACGAGCTAGAGAAAAAGAGAAGATTTGAACCAGTTTAAATTTCACTAAGAAGAACAGGAGTACCAGAAATGTCATAGTTGCAACGATGATGGAATCACAGATCAAGGTCCCCAATAACCAAAGCTTTTGAGGGGAAAGTTGAGCACTTTAGGCATCTTGGAGATATAGCAAAAGAGAACGTACATCAGCTGAAAGGTCTAAAGTATGCTGTCGGCTGGATAAGCTTTCAGATTGAGCGCACTATGATCAAATCTATGAAAATTTTGCTGTGAAGTTATGAATCACGTACTGCTACTCCACAGGCAATCACAGCCGCTAATTGCATAAACGCCACCTAGAAAAAGTTCAATGCATGTAAAACAAGCCAGGGAAGGCTGTTAACCAAACAGATTATGCTTCAAATAATTCGATAGATTTTGAACTCTCTTTTCAGGGTCCATATTCGCCTATAAGGATGTTGGATGTCATGCGTGAAAACGAGGTTTTATGAGGACTCACCAGGCAAAGAAAATCTGAACAATGCAGGATTCTATCAATGGCGAAGTCAGGACGTTGAAGGATCGGTTGAGTGGAAGACTCGCCTATCCCAGTGAGTGGTATGGTAAGGACGGGAAACACGGAAGGGCCAGTGAAAATTGTTGGGTTTCCCCATGCAACTATTAAGCTTTGCCAAGCACCGGCCAGCTGAGCAGCGGCGTTTCGCGCAGACGGTTCCCCCCCTCTGACCCCCTGCCCTTATCATGGGCTCCTCGGATTTCAGTCTTTACTATCTGCTGCCATGTCTTTAGTCATCCCGAATCGGCATGCATGGGCTCAGTGGCTTCGGCGCATATCATCTCTCATTGCATCGGTTTTTGCCAAAGAAACAGAACAAAAGTGAGTCCATGTTTCTCCCACTTCACGATTCAAATTATGCAGAATTAACGTGAAGGTGAAGGGGTGGTGACATAACTGAACATGACGACGTAGGACCCCCGAAAATCCTGCTAAATGGTAGATACCGATCCGGACAGAATTTTTCAAAATGAGGCGCTAGGATAGATACAAACCGGACAGGTTTTCGAAAAAATCAGCAAAATGCTAGATACAGAATCCGGACAGGCTTGCGAGAAGAATCAGAGGCTAGATACTAACCGGACAACTATGGTCGCGTAGCTCAACGGAAAAAAAGTATGTACTTTACGAAGCCTGACGTGTGGTCTGCGGTTTGAACCTTTTGCCGCACAAAAAAATTTGGCCCTGACTTGGGCTAGATACGCAGTTCGGACAACTTTTCGAAATTTTGGTCTAGGCTAGATAAAATCCGGACAGACTTCGCCAAAATTGGTACGGACAAGAATCTGGAATTCGGCAATTTCAGTATCTATCATTGAGCAGGATTTTCGGGGGTCCTGACGACGTTGAGTCTGGGATTGGCACCTCGGCCCTTGATCATCACAGCTTGTCCCAGCGTCAAAAATAATGGTCACACGGCAATGTTTGCAGTTTTGATTCCGGTAACCCACTTCTTCTGACAAGCTATATCATGTCAAGGTACTGAGCAGGACCCATTCTCCGCCCTTGATCCCAATTCCACATCACCTTGAGGCTTAGACATGGCAGCGCTTGCAAATAATGTGGCTGCAGAACGACTTGCTACAGTGCGTATCTATATGCCTATAAAGTCCTCCTTCCCCTCTAACGAAAGAAGAACAGTCATTCGATGGTGAGCCGCCTGATATGATTTCGAGCTTCTAAAGCTGATGAGTCTTCGAAGTTGCGGCGGCGATGTTGTTGGTATACAACTGCTCACTGACGTTGGGGATGGAAATTGAGTTTATGTGGTCATCGCCATGGGGGTTAATGAAAGTGCTTTATATCGTTCAGCGATACCTGCCTTTCTGTGACTCGATTTTTCTCTGTCTAACTCGTGAGTACATGGAATACCTCTATCTCTTTACAACTTTCACCATTTTCTCTTCTAGACCAATTGGCGATTAATATCGACCCGTATGGCTGCCATATCATTGAAACGATACGAGGATGTATGCATTCTCTTCAAAGGTGGTCATTTGGCTCATTGTATCATAGGGTTGATGGTTTTTGGCATGACTTTGTCCGAAGGTGCGAATTCTCTTCGTTTTATACTATGTGATGTGCCTAATGGTGGCTGTTCCTAGTAATTTTGTCCCTGCGCGCATGGGCAGTATGGAAACAAGGGGGATCTGCGTCTGGGTGTCTCTCTGATATCCCTAATTACGCTCACAACCGTGGCGGAGATATATGTGACGAGAATCTTCCTTCGCGACCTGCAATGTGTGTCCACCATCTGTCATATTTAACCGTCATCTCACTGCAATTGACACCCCATGTGAAGTCAGTAAAAAGCCATATCCAGAATTTGTAGGTTGCTTTCTCACCAGCGCAAATCGCATCGTGTATTTGGATTATGTTGTATTGATGATTTACGAAGCCGGTAAGCATCAATTTCTACATTGGTGTACGGCATCCACAACTAATTGTCTCCCAGTAATACTGGTCTTGATGATAATTCCTGGAATTGCTTCCTGTAAGACCCATACATTATCTAATTTCCGCTTGCCCATAAGCTGCCCTTTCAGATCGGCGAGGAGGGAATGTTGATCTGCATCATGTCATATATCGCGACGGTAAGATATTGAATTTCATTGGAAGAGATGTAGCTAAATTGCCTTCAAACATAAGGATAATAATGTATATCTACCTTTTTGGTAAGCGATGGTCGGCACAACACATTCGTTGTGTGCTAAAGGAGCAAAAGCTCTTTCAATAGTCAACGTCGTAGTCCTGTGCGCGCTCTCTGTAAGCCTATACATTGCGTCTTCGTCTGAGAACCAAATTCACCACCAAATTTCTGCAGACAAACTATTTCGCAGTTATTTCTAAGTACGTTTATGTTCTGCCTCTACGTGCAAAATGACTGATGAAGTCAAGTGTTGAACGCGTACTCCATTTGCTGTTGACGAGTAGGGTCGTGCTTCATATTCGAGAATGCATGAAAAGGCAACAACCATCGTATACCGATGGTCTTACAGACCTTCATGTTAATTTGGACGCTAGCAAACCAGAAAACCGATTCCAAAAACGATGGATAGCATGATACGCTTATATATATCCGGGAATGAACCACACGCCTCTTCAAGCTTTTGAATGATGCACAACTTTAGTGTAATCCAGCGTAAACAGACAATTGCGAGAAATTAAAGCGTGGCGTTGTTTTAGAACGTAGAATACATATTTTTCATCACAGACGGAAGAAGATATATTTGTTCCCCATATCTCTTGCAGCGAGACAGCCTTCATGTAAGTACCTCAAATCCAAACGGCGTCCTTCAATATTCGTTCAAACGAAACGATAATTTGATTCACGATACCTTATCTTAGTTTTTTAAAATGCCAACGCGTGAGTTGTAGTCGGTATGAATTACGTCGTGTGGAGATGTTTAACGCTCGAGTGGGCGCTACGTGAGAGTGAGTGCTGCGATGGCCGTGGGGTCAAATTTTGGCGCAGGGTGTTGTTTGATACCAATGCGAGAAAGTTCAGGAGTGCAATACTAGCTTATGGGGTTCGGAAATTATTTTAATGGCGTTCGTTAGTGGTGGAAGAGCATACCATTAGTGAGCGCCTTACTTATCCATAAACTTGCGACAACACCGCGATGCGATGCCATCCGGCCAGTTGTTGAAATGATCATCACCTAAATCTGCTGAAACCACAGATAAAACTACCGCATCTTCAAGTCGTCAATCGCAAACGATGGTCATGCTTGAGAGTGGTTCTTGATAGATGGCATAGTGTTGACTTGATGTTGACAGATGTTTGCAGATAATGACGAGATGCGTCCTGTCACGTGTTGACGCGTTTTTAGATACAAGGCTGTCCTTTCTTGAAATTGACGCCCACGTTTCAGCAACATCAACATCTCGGTTTTAGATGCACACGGTAAGAACGAGTTTACTTACAAGATGGGTTACTTACTTGCCTGGCGATTCCAAAAATTAGATCCAAAATGTCGCGTTGACAGGACCGGTCAGCCGGGTAAGACCCGACAGCGGAATTATGTAAAAGAGAGCTACTCCTTTTCGTCCTCTCTCATTTCTATCTATACTGAATGTCTCCTTACGAAAATGAACTTCACGCTTTCGATGTTGACGAGCGTGCTGGTTTCATGCCTCCCTCTCCTCCCCTGACCCGCCTCCCTCAACTCTGGGAGTTATGGGAAACTATACTAGACGCTGCCATTCATGCGAAATTGCAGCTTGGGGGTAAAGTGGGTCTTGCTGTCGAGGAAGCTGAGGCGTCAGAGGCATGGCGCGTACGTGTTCGTCAGGTGCGTTGTTTTGCCGGCTTGGGTTTCAAATTTCAAGGCGTACACTTACTGCGTTTGACAGCTGCCGGTCATACCCATTTGTGAACTGGATTCGCCCATGCTTCTACGTCGAGCCCATCTTGTGTTAACTTATATTCTTCACTTCTACATCCACACTCTGCCTCTGACGTCTCCCATCTGTATACCCAAACCCATATCTCTTCCTCTTGTCCGCATTTCTCAGAAGCTCGACATCCCACCGTTACTCACCTTCTCCGACACCGTCCTGTACAACTGGGTCATATGTACCAGTGAAGACTTCCCAACACCTCTCAACGTCCGTTCCCAGACACTATTCACGGGACTGAGAGACGAAGAAGAGTTTTATCTCTGCTCTGCGCGTATCGAGTTGCGCGGCGTCGAGGCTCTCCAACTTGTACGTGCAACCATGGACGAGACATCCGTGAACGACTCCATTGCAGTGCGCCACGTCACCCAATACCTGTCCACCCTCTCCAGCGTCATTGACGAACTTCGTGCGTTGATGAATGACGTCCGTAATGGTTGTGATCCAGATACGTACTATAACCAAGTACGACCGTGGTTCTGCGGTGAAGACTCGGACGCGAACAAGCGGAAATGGGTGTATGAAGGGCTGGCGGAGGAGGGGCTTCTCGTCCCGAAGGAGCTATCTGGTCCCAGCGCGGGACAGAGCTCACTCATTCACGCTTTGGACTCCTTTTTAGGTGTGAACCACGGCAATCCATCGTTCATGCAACGCATGCAATCGTACATGCCCAGAAAACATCGGTTGTTCCTTGATCATCTGATGAAGAGCCCTCGCCCGTTGAGGGAGTTTGTGGTTGGGGCGAGGGATGGGGAGTTGGAGGGGGCGTATAATCGGGCGGTGGGCGCTTTGAAGAAGTTTAGGGATGCACATATGATTATTGCGCATTTGTATATATTGGGTCCGGCGAGGAGAGCGGCGAGTTTAAGGAATTCAAAGGGGTTGCAAGGGGAGGGGAAAGAGAGGGAGCCGGTCAAGGGGACTGGTGGGACGGATTTGGTGACATTTCTGAAGGATACTAGAACGAGGACGATTGAGGCGGTTATACCATAAGGATTCATTGTTATACTTTGCTAGCTATGATTCATAGACTAGATATTTCTTGGGCATCTTGTGGCGTTTTCGCGTCTGACAGTGGGTACATACTGCATACGTTGGTGCGGTCTTCTTTCGTCCGGAATAGGAGAAAAGGCATTTCCGTTGAATATTCGTTCATCGTGACCTCATTTAGCTGGTCGAATGATTCGCCAGCTGTAACCTTTATTTTTAGATGCTTCCTCACTATGTGCGCCAAGCTCTGAGCTCAGCAAAGTAAGCTTCGTTCTTGCTATCTAGCGAGTGTCAAGTGATTTATATGAACGGACCTTCCATACCCCTAACACAAACAACCTCACGCTTCCTCGAATTCTATCGCACAAGCGTGGAAATGAAGTTTACGATCATGATATATAAAAGCCCGAAGGTACGTCTTCCAGAGCACCGTCAAAAATGACGCTCCCTACAGGAAAATACCTCATCCGCAATAAAGGCTTCGATTCTTTCGTCCAGCGGGCAGCCCACGAAGATCATAGTCTCCTTCCCAAGCCGATTGTTTCTATCGCTTCAAGCTGGACAGAGGGCGTATCCCGTAAGCCTTGATTCTCGAATGAATTGGCAATCAACCTGAGCGTTCTTTGTGATCGTCGTAGTGGGTAATTGAAGAGCAATCTGGGCTTTACACCATCAAAGCTGGCGGTGCTCCTGCGTTCTCGAAAAATCGCCAGGTGTTTGCGTCGTTGTTTGAGGAGGTAGATGAGGGCGTTAGATGGTGTCTTACGAATGCTCCGGATGTCAGTGGAAAGGATGTCTACATGTAAGTAGGTTTCTTGGTCGAGCTGGAGTGAGGTTAAACATAGTTTTTTCAGCATTGACAACCCGGTGACGAAGGAAGGTTGGGTTTTACCTGAGAATGAAGCAGGAACTCAGGTGAGTTCTGTATTTTGTACTATTGAAAGGCGGTTTGTTGGAAATTATGTAGGTCGCTTGCGGCTTGCTAATCGTTGGTCCGAGTGAACCGCCGTTCTTCCCGCCGAATCAGCTCTGGATTATCACTCCTGTAGATTAAATATGCGACAATTTGAATGGCCGCGCGACTCGACGAGTGATAATAGAATCAAAGCTTGCTTCCAGGTACTAGTAGACAAGGGGGGTCCAGGATTTGAAAATGCCATATCGGGATGGTTAGTTAGTCCGGCTGACAGGCTGTTAAAAAAAAAAAAATAACCTCCTATATTTTTTAGTCTGAATGGCCTGGAAATAGCTGAAACGGGTGATGACAAGAATAGTAGTAGTGGGATTATAATATATTAGTAAAATAGTGTGATCTTACCCCGAATAGTGGGATAGCAAACTGAAATAGTGTGGTCCCAAATCTCAGCAGTAGGATTGTATAGCGAAAGTGTGATGTGATCAATTTGGGTTATCTTGCGAAAGTGGGATAGTATAAGTACCCTACTTACCTGCCGAACCTCGCCGGGCCAGCCATTGAACGTTCTTTGGTTAGGGTTAGGTGTTGATGCATTTTCCTTCAATGTTATTGCGCAAGAAACAGTGGATGACATCATTCTTTTCACCTTCGGGGACCAAAATCG